ATATATCACATCAACCTCCAAAATAATAATTTTTTGAAAAAGTTTTTTTTTTTTTCTGAATTTTTTTTTTCCGACGTTGACTTTTTTTTCGAATTTTTTTTCTTAGAAAAAAATATTTTAATTAATATTACTGTATTGGCTATTAAATTTCTGTCTCATACAGTAGTATTACTGTTTGGGACAGTGATATTATGAATATTATTTTCCCGAACAGTAATATTATTAATATTACTGTCTAAGGCAGTTAAATTACTGTTGGAGACAATAATTTAGCAGCCAAGACAGTAATATTAATTAAAATAATTTTTGTTAGAAAAACAATTTCAAAAAAAAAAAAAAAAGTCAATTAACAGTTAAATTACTGTCTCCGACAGTTAAATAACTGCTGGAGACAGTAATTTAGCAGCCAAGACAGTAATATTAATTAAAGTATTTTTTTGGCTTAATTCCACTTTGCACCCTTGAAATATACCATTTTGGCACTTTGCACCCTCGAAACAAATTAATAGCACTTTGCACCCTCGAAATACAATAAATCAGGCATAATGCACCCCAAATGAATTTTTAAAGCTAAAAAATGTAATTTAATATTTTTAGTGATATTTTTTTTAGGATGTCAAATGTCAAATATTTTTTTTATTCATCAATCATTTTGAAACTATAAAGTTCAAAAATAAAAATAAATTTTATCTATATATTAATTTTTTATTTATTTATCAAATATCAAATATTTTACGGAAAAAAATCATTCAACTATTCCGTTTTCAAGTAATCTGAAAGTCATATTTTCTTCCAAGTATTTTCACCTAATATTTTCAAACAGTTACATAAAAGCTCCATCAATCGAATAATTTAGTGATAAAAACTTATTTTTTATTTTTTATTTTGTAAGAAAATGTAGGTGTTTTAAATAATCCGGTGTAATTTTTATTTTTTCGCACTTTGTCCGCTCGAAATTAGGTTGGAGGTTCAAGAAAATAACAATTTATTTTTTTATTTTGCACCCCGAAAAAAAATACCAATGAAAAATGAAATTGCCTTTATTATTCAATTCAGGGTGCATTGTGAATGATTTATTGTGTTTTGAGGGTGCAAAGTGTTATTAATTTGTTTCGAGGGTGCAAAGTGCCAAAATGGTATATTTCAAGGGTGCAAAGTGGAATTAAGCCTATTTTTTTTTAAGAAAAAAAAAAGTTAATGACAGTAATTTAGCAACGAATACAGTAATATTAAGTAAAATATTTTAAAAAAAAGTTCAATTAACGGTTAAATTACTGTCTCCGACTAAATAGCTGCTGGAGACAGTAATTTAGCAGCCAAGATAGTAACATTAATTAAAATATGTTTGAGGAAAAAAAATCAATTAACAGTTAAATTACTGTCTCCGACAATTAAATAACTGTTGGAAACAGTAATTTAGTAGTCAAGACAGTAATATTAATTAAAATATTTGTTTTAAGAGAAAAAACAAAATTATTAAAAAAAAAAGTCAACGGTGGTTGACTTACCGAAAAAAAAAAAGTCAACGGCGGCTGACCGGCAGTCTTCGGTGGTGGAGGGAGGGTCAAAATTGAAATTATGGTTAAAATTGGTTAATTGATGAAATTGGGGTGTAAATCATGAAATTGGAGTTGAATTGGGTTTCAATGAATTGGGGGTAATTTTGGTATATATAAAAAGATTTTCCTTATTTGCAGATAAGTTTAAATGAACTGGATTTATTTGAAAGACAAAAAAGTTTGATGTCCTTCTTTCAATTAAGTGCCCTTGTCATAGACTTATTTGTTCATTTGCCCTAAATATATATATATATATATATATATATATATATATATATATATATATATATATATATATATATATATATATATATATATATATATATATATATATATATATATATATATATATATATATATATATATATATATATATATATATATATATATATACATATATATATATATATATAAACCACATGTATCACCGAAAAAAAAAAAGCCATATACAAGAATCCAAATTCATTGAAAATTTTATATATGTATATTCTTTCGAGCATGAAAAATTCAAAAATATATAGAGATACAGATTTTCTATGAAATCTCCCACACAAAACTGTACATTATATGACACTTTTATTTGAAAGAAAGAATATGACCACGTTTCAAAGAAAACTTAGAACTGCAAATTGTGAATCCTTACCATTGATCACGAACTGTTGAACTATAATAACAGTTCAAGGACATTTTA